AACTTCTTGTCCTTCCAGGAAGTGGAACTATTCGTTCCCTTCATATCAGCAATCTTGGCCCTCTTGGCCTTACTCGAGTTGCAGAAATCCTCGATATCACGACACTGCTGCACCAGTGTCCCAAAGTCTCTCGAAGCAGAACCAGCGAGGTAACCAACAATGTCCTCACTAAGTCCCCTGCGGAACTTAGCGGCCAAAAAGATCGGAGTAGGCCTCTCCATCCGAAAGTGCACAAATTTAACCAGCTCATTGAACTTGGCCAGGTACTCGTCAAAAAACAACGAGCCCTGCACCAACCTGTCGAACTCTCATTGTTTCTGCTCCTGCGCATCGTAAGGAAAATATCTCCCAAGGAAGCAATCCTCAAAGAATGGCCATGTCATAACATGACCCTGCATCTCAAAAGCATGAGAGGTGTTCATCCAGCACTCATGTGCGTCGCCCTCCAGCATGTAGGTCGCGAACATCAGCTTCTGCGGATCTGTACACTGCATGACCCGAAGATTCTTATACAGCGCCTGTAGCCATCTAGCCGCAGCAATAGGATCGTAAGATCCATCAAAAGTAGGTGGCTTATGCTTGCGAAAAGCATTAAGCCGGCGATCAATCACATCTCTATCTTCAGCAGGCTCCACAAAGGGTTCCATCACCCCAGTCAAGTGACCAGTGCCCTCAATCTGGCTCTGACTCTCATCCTGCAGACTAGGTGGAGGCGGCAGCGGCATTGGCGGTGGAGGTGGTGACAGAGGGAACTGACCAACAGCAGGACTAGCCCTCATCTCCTCCAATATAACCCTCATCATGGTCATGTTCGCCAGCAAGTTCGCCTCAAGAGCATCCTCTGTGGCCTTCTGGTTCGCCTCACGAGCGGCGTCCATCATTGCCACGTTGGCCAATCTAGCGGCCTCCTGCATCTCAGCTAATGCAGTCAGGATCGAGTCTGGTTGACCCTCAGCGGTCTCGCGAGTTCTCCTGGGTATTACTATCACTCTGCACAAGTTACACAAATTATGAGTTGATCAGGCCCACGCAATGTGATCACATATGCATTATCATAATAACACTCAACGGAGCAAACACACAAGACAAGACACAACCAAACATCCTAGTTATTGCAATACATACATGCTTTTCCTTAGAAAGTGCTCTGATACCATAAAATGTAACACCCCGTGTTAACCCAGTTTGTTAACATGTCATCGTATTAAGCCACACTTAATTTAAAAATGCGAAATATCTTTTTCTTTTCAGTTACGACGTCATTATGCTTAGCCCAGTTGATTACTTAATCATTTTCATAAAAACAACACCTGTAGGATATTGCAAAAGACACTATCTACACTGAATAACCTCTTATCATAAAATAGATGAGTTTCTACTCACGGATCTACAACATGTAGTCTGGAGAATATCCTGATAATTTAAAAAACTCCAAGCTAACCTAAAGAAAGTCAAATCAATGTGGCATGGACAATCCCCATGTTCACCAAATAAGGCATACAAGCCCAACATAGTCGCAACAACAAAGACATAATAAAATATAATCATAAGATGGCATATCAACATCCAGCATATAATAAGATAAACAACAATATCAGCTAACTCAGCTCTGGCCTCCTGCCACCCGAGGTCTCAACCCCGGGGTTACCTGAACCTGAAATATGTGCCCCAAACGTGGGGTGAGATCTCTAAACAGAAATCTCAGTAAGACAAGGGGTGCTCAAGGATCTTCCACCCCAAGCTCACTTACATGTGCAATATAAGTTCTAAAAACAGATAACAGTATAAGTTCCAAAATCAGTGCAATGCAACAGATAATCATGTCATGTGTGTTCTAACAATTCTACTGATCAGAGAAGTGCAGGAATACATCTATTACCCACACAGTACCAGCCCATGCTATACCAGCTCATGCTGTACCCGCCCCCACGACCACCCCTTGGCTTCCTGGCTAGGCGAAACACCACATACATATCATAAGTATTTTGCAGTTAACAGCTTCATAGCATTTCAATAAAACAGTACATGAAAACACATCATGCATATAACCATCCCCCCATGAGACATGGTGAAACAAACAATGGCTAAACCGAGGACACGAAAGCTTACCTTGCAAGATAACAATCCAATGCCAAGAGTCCAATCAAAGCTCAAATCCCAACACAGCAGAATCATAATCTGATTTGGGACCAGCAATCATATCAATAACCATAGCTCATAAGCATAAACATTAAGACAACGCTTCTCTTTTACGTTTCATGTCTTAAGGCTTCTCACAAAGCCACAAGCCCTTAATCCCTTGATTCTGACTTAACTTAGTCATTACAGAAGTTTAACTGACACAAACTAGGGTCCACAAACCTATAACTTAGTTATGTGTGAACAGTACTGTTACTGTTCACGCAAACCCAGAATATCCGGATGTATGTCAGGGGCATATCCGTATATCAATATCCGGATACCATATCCGGATATTTCGCGACAGAATGCAGTATCTACATTTCGCGAGATATCACTCCAAAGGTTCATCTTTTAACCCACTAAATCATTAAAGCATGCATTTTACCGTGTTTAAGGATCATATACAGATTACATACTTGTTTAACTCATTAACATGCCAAGACTCCATTTTTAAACATCAACCACTCATGATCAAGGTTGGTAACACTTACCCAAGCTCAAAATAGAGCAACAATTGCTCTTGGAGCTCACCATACTACCTCTACAGTTCTAACTTGAAGGCAAACGAAAATGACAACAAAGCAAGGTCCTTTTTTCACAAGGAAAGCTTCTTGAAGCATCAAAACACCATGACAATGGTTCCTTCAACTCTCACTATGAAGTCAGCCCCTAGACCACCACTAAGGCTGCGCATGATAACCATTCTAATTCCTGGCACTGTTTCTGAAAAAAATGATTCTTTTCTATTTCTGTGCCTTGGAAGAGTTCTGAGAATCAGAATTACGTTTGTTAACATATTTTATTTTTATTCCGAGAATCAGAATTACATTTGTTAACACAATTTTTTTTTCATTCTGAGAATTATATGCAGTCTTACCCTTGCATATTTGCAAAGAGACTTTCCCAAATTTGAACCCATAATCTTTCAGTGATAAAATAATAATATTGCCACTATTCCAAGACTTGCCCTCTTACCATTCGACTATATAATACAAAAAGAAGGGGATGGAGGATAGTGCGCTGCGTGCGTATGAAAGAAAGGAAGCAAGGGAATGAGGAAATTGGAGGGAATTTGCTAGCTGTAGAGAAAGAACCAAAAGAGAAGTTGATTATGGGAAAGTGGGCTATCAGTAACAGCATGGACAGCTGCCACATGCTGAATGTGGGGGAGTATTCTGGTTTCACACCAGAGAAGGCCAATGTGAATAAGATAGGGAGGGGCGAGGGAGAGAAGGCAGAGAAGAATTTGAAGGAATAAGAACTCGGTTCAGCGACAAAGGCTAGTGCTCTGCACATCAGCAATCTTCTCCATATCTAAATCAGGGACAAAATGCGCATACTCCTTGCAAGATGAATTAGAAAACTGATTCTAATTTTGTGCCCAGAATTAGAAAAGCAGAAAATTTTTAATTCTTTTTTTTTGTTCCCCAGCATAAAAAAAAATCGGTTCATCCCGGGAACAAAAAAAAAACCAATTTTGTCAAACGCAATTCTCATCCATTTTTGTTTCTGGGAACAAAAATTAAAAAAAAAACTCATTTCGGGAAGGTTGTCATGCACACCCTAAACAGAAACCAACACTCAGAAAATGGTACCTTTCTCCTTCACCAAGCTCACACCCAAGTGTTTAACACATTTAGAGGAAGATTCAAAGAGAAAAGGTGGTTCTTTGTTGAGTTTTCATGAAGAAGAGCAAGGTGGCAACTTGGAGACTCAAGGTTCAGAAGAAAACCCACGTAGGAGGCTGAGTATCAGCCTAGGGTTTAGTGCCAAGCACTATATATAGGCGGTTTAAGTTTAATCACACTATATTAGCACTAATAGATACGCTTATCATTTTAATCCCAAACTTAGGATTCTGAACCTACTCATTTTTACAAGATTTATTATAATAGCCCATATTAACTAATTAGGAAATCAAGTGTAATTAATTAATTAAACATGTTTTAGTGAATGAAATTAAGTATGAGGCTTAATAAAATGAATCTGAGTCGCTTTGGAGTTAAAAAGTGTACTCAGTGAAAATTAAGGGGTATAAATGGGTACTGTCAAAAGTACCCAAAATATAAAAATAAAAATAGTAATATTCCTAGAATAACGTTCCAGACTTTTGGGTAAAGTTTGGTAATTATTGGAGTTAAATAGATAGACGAACCAACACCCGCTTAGAGCCACTTAACCTAAGTTAAGTGACTTAAGTCACCAAATGCCCCCATTTTTCCCAGAAGCCCGTCGAGAAACAGAAAAGAAGGAGAAGAGAAGAGAGGGAGAAGAGAGGGAAGAAGAAAAGGGAAAGAGAGAGAGAGAGATCAAACCTTGATGGTTTTGGATGATTCAAAAGCCTAAATCGCTTAGAATCTCGCCCTCTTTCATAATCCAAGCTTTGTTTTGAGTGGGGAACATTGTGGAGAGGGATATTGGCTCTCAAAAATTCGGCCATTGGTGAGATTTTGGAGTTTTGGTGGCTTCTACCTCCATGGGAGCTTGAGGAACACTTCCATCATTGTTGTGCAACCATTGGTGGTAAGATTTAAGCCCTTGAACCTCATGATTCCTTGAAATTTGCATGGGTTAGGGTTTGTGAATAGTAAATTGGGATTTTTATGAAATGTAGTTGAATTAGCTATGTTCTAGGAAGAATGGAGCTTAGAGCATGTTATGGAAAATGCTAGGAATGTCATTTAATCGGTGGAAATGAGCCTAGATAATCATTTGATAATTGTTCATAATATTGGAAAATTCATGCTTGGATTGGTTAGTATTCTAGCATGTTGAACAATTAGTGAGTTGAATGATCGATTGGGTCCTTGTGATGTCTAGGATTGAGACATTTGGACCAACCGTGAGTGATCAACCATTGGAGCAAGCTATGGAGCTTGAATAGCTCATTGGAATTGGTAAGCTCATACTTGGGTTGTGCTTTGAATTGAGTAATTGATGGTTGATTGTGAAATACTCTTGGATGCAATGTGTTGATTGCATTACACCATGTGTAGGTGTATGTTTGTAAAAGTTGATTGCTGAAACTGTTGGTGAAGAACAAAGGTTGACTGAAGCATTGAGGTAAGCCTTCGGACCTTGGGTGTAATTCCCTTGACTGTTCTACCAAGCCCTGAAAGGGTGGAGGTTGTGATTGTGTATATAAATGCAATAAAATAGTGTAATGCTTTGTTATACGTATGTGTATGCATTTGGTGTGGCATAGGATGGTGTTTCCCTATGTTGGTATGTGGCATGACGATGCGTAAATCATACTTGGTAGTTAGCTGGCCAGTAGGACTATTTGCATCTGAGTTTCCTTAGGACAGCTTGAGAGCTCGAGGGATTTCTCCTGGAGATGTATTGCACTTTGCATAGATATGTATTTACTGCATTATTATTGTTATTGCTATTACACTGATATGGAACTGTGGGGTGGAGAGATGCTCCAAGGACCCCTGGTTTACTGGATATATTCGTATATCTCACCCCGTGTTGTGGGGACCCCCTTTCAGGTAAGGATGCTGCAGGAGCCTCTGGTGGCAAGTGGCCATATCTGGATTATGCATGAGATGTGGCATTCCTTTTGAGTTTATGCATGCCTTTTGTAGTTGACATGTATAGGAGTTTATTTTGAAAGCCCTTGGTCATTTGTATGCCTTGATTCATTGAATGAACTTAGCCTATGCTCATGCCTTTGGTTACACCTTTTGTTGATGGGAGCCAAGGGAATGATCATAGTGTTTTGTAAGCTAAGTTCTATGATTTGTAAAGGATATGTAATGTAAATGATGCCTACTTGAAATTTCATATATGCATGCTTGTTATGTATTGAGTTGTTGAATTGGTTGGGCTGAAAGTCAATTAGGTACCCTTTTGTTTAAACTGGTAAACGATGAGAAAACAAAGGTCATGCTGCCCAAATTCTAGCTAAATCTCATGAGGAGAGGTTGGATGAGGCTAGGATTTAGTTTTGGGGCATGAACAATTGGGATATGTAATGGGGATGCATTTTCCCCTAGGCTTGGACTTGAGAAATGTGGGAATTGGAATTCCCTGGCAGCGTGCTTAAGCGCCCAGGAGCGCGCCCAAGCGCCCTGCTGCCCCTGCGAGTGCCAATGCATTCTGCCTCCTCGCGCTGGAGCGCCCAAGTGGGGGCTTAAGCGCCCAGGATTGCGCGCTGGAGCGCCCTGGCGTGCGCTTAAGCGCCCCTTGCTGCAGAAAGTGGGGTGGCTTACTGTCCCCTCGTGTTTTAGCGCCCAGGGTGGGGCTTAAGCGCCCAGGGTTGCGCGCTTGGGCGCCCTGGTCCGCGCTTAAGCGCCCTTCGCCACCAAAGGAGGAGATGCTTCTGTCTCTGCGCGCTAAAACGTCCCAGTGGGAGCTTGAGCGCCCAGGCCAGCGCGCCTGAGCGCCCTGTTGCGCGCTTAAGCGCCCATCCACACTGGAAACGCTGATGCTTACTGCCTCCGTGCGCTTAAGCGCCCAGATGGAGGCTTTAGCGCCCGATAGCGCGCGCTTGAGCGCCCGGTAGCGCGCTGAAGCGCGCTGGGCCTGTGACCAACACTCTCTTGTGTTGCTTCAAATTGTCCTAACTTGGACTACAGTGCTCCGATTTGAGCACGGTTTGAAGCCACGGGTAGCTAACGAGGAAACCTACAATATAGTAGAAGTATTGAACTAAACAAGAAGTAAATTAATGGTTTAAAAATGGGAAATGAACATGATGTTAAGCTTAATTTATCTGTTTCCGCAAGGTAATACGGTTATGATCACGAAATTGGGTATTATAAGTTCGGTACGTTTTAAAATGAAAAATTTGACCGGATTTTAATTGAACCCAGGTGATTGTAACTGCGCTTAATATCATAATGCGATGTTAACAAACCGGTTCTAGAACGGGGTGTTACATTTATCATATTTTTATTTTATTTTTCACAGCACCTTTCCGGTACGTGCTTTTTCATAGCGAATATCAGTTCTGGAACCAGTTCTCATTATTTTGACTTGAAACTTGTTTTACTAGTCCTATATAATATTCTAGGAATATTCATGCACTTATTATAATTTTTCGGGATACTTCATCGGTACACATTTATACCGAGTAGCAGAACCGGTATCTGCACTTTTCGTCAGAAAAACGACTTTCAGCATTATTACTCACTTACCATAATTATTTAAGCCTCATAATAATTATTAGGGTCAATTATGGAATTATTTCCTAATTTCACAAAATTAATTAGTTAACTTCCTTAGTTAACGGTGTGAGTTCTTACAAACACGACCCAAAATGAGTCTTCCCACACCCCGAGCATCTGGGAGCGGGAGGTCTCGCTGCACTCCCCTGAGCAGAAGTCCTCTTAAACTGATTTGGTGCTTGTCGAGCCGCCATCTGATTTCCCTTGCCTTTGCTCCCAAACTTCCTGTCCCCCCAGGAAGTGGAACTACTAGTTCCTTCGTCTCAGCGATCTTGGCCCTCTTGGCCTTACTCAAGTTGTAGAAGTCCTCGATGTCCCGAAACTGCTACACCAGTGTCCCGAAGTCTCTCAAAGCAGAACCAGCGAGGTAACCAGTAATATCCTCATTAAGTCCCCTGCGGAACTTAGCTGCCAAGAAGATCGGAGTAGGCCTCTCCATCCGAAAGTGAGCGAACTTAACCAGCTCATTGAACTTGGCCAGGTACTTGTCAACAGACGACGAGCCTTGCACCAACCTGTCGAACTCCCCATGCTTCATTTCCTGAGCATCATAAGGGAATTACCGACCCAGAAAGCAATCCTCGAAGAACGACCACGTTATAACATGACCCTGCATCTCGAAAGCATGAGAGGTGTTCATCCACCACTCATGGGCATCGCCCTCCAGCATATATGTAGCAAACATCAGTTTCTGTGTATCTGTACACTGCATGACTCGGAAGACCTTATCCAGTGCCTGTAGCCATCTAGCCGCAGCAATAGGATCGTAAGATCCATCAAAGGTAGGTGGCTTATGCTTGCGAAAAGCATTAAGCCGATGATCAATCGCATCTCTATCTTCAGTAGGCTCCACAAAGGGTTCCATCACCCCGGTCAAGTGACCAGTGCCCTCAATCTGGCTCTGGCTCTGGCTCTTGTCCTGCAGACTAGGTGAAGGCGGCAGCAGCGGTGGCGGCGGAGGTGGTGGCGGTGGGATCTGACCAACAGCAGGACCAGCTCTCATCTCTTCCAACATGACCTTCATCATGGTCATGTTCGCCAGCCGGTTCGCCTCAAGAGCATCCTCCGTGGATTTCTGGTTCACTTCACGAGCGGCGTCCATCATTGCCACGTTGGCCAATCTCACGGCCTCCTGCATCTCAGCTAATGCAGTCAAGATCGGGTCGGGTTGACCCTCAGCAGTCTTGCGTGTTCTCCTGGGTATTACCATGACTCTGCACAGTTACACAATTTATGAGTTGATCAGGCCCACGCAATGTGATCATATATGCATTATCATAATAACACTCAACGGAGCAAACACACAAGACAAAACACAACCAAGCATCCTAGTTATTGCAATACATACAGGATTTTCCCAAGAAAGTGCTCTGATACCATAAAATGTAACACCCCGTATATATCCGGTTTGTTATCATATCATCGTATTAAGCCACGCTTAATTTAAAAATGCGGAATATCTTTTTCTTTTCAATTATAATGTCATTATCATTAGCTAAGTTGAATTACTTAATTCATTTCATAAAACATCGCCTGTATGTAAATTGAAAAAGACAGCTAACTGAAATACCTCATAACATAGATGTGAGTATCTAAGTCACGGATCTACAACACGTAGTCCAGACAATATCCTGATACATTATTAATTACAACTAGAAACAACTAAGCATAGAGTCAAGTCAAAGTGGCATGGACAATCCCCATGCTCACCAGATAAGGCAACAAAGCCCCACAGCAGTCTCAACAATAACATCATGAAGCTAAAAGCATAAAAGGCAACAGTCAATATCCATAAGTAGCATAACGACATATAATCAGCTAAGCTCCGGCCTCCTGCCGCTTGAGGGATCAACCCCCGCATTACCTGAACCTGAAATATGTGCCCCAAACGTGGGGTAAGATCTCTAAAAAGAAATCTCAGTAAGACAAGGGGTCCTCAAGGATCTTCCACCCCAAGCTCATTTACACGTGCAATATAAGTTCAAAAGCATTTAACAGTATAAGTTCCAAAACTATGCAGTGCAACATATATTCATGCCATCCGTGTTTTAACTATTCTACTGGCCAGAGAAATGCAGGACGTACGTCTACAACCCCACAATAAGTACAAGGAACACCGCTTGCACCTCACCCACAACCTCACCTTCTTGTATGTTTCCACATACTCAGGCTTACCGTATAGGTGGAACACCACATGCATATCATAAAGGCACTCGCATATAACAGCTCAATAACATTTATCAAAACAATACTTGAAAACAACATCATGCATATAAACCATCCCCCCATGGGACATGGTGGAACCAACAATGGCTAAACCGAGGACACGAAAGCTTACCTTGCAAGCTAACTATCCAATGCCAAGAGTCCACACTAGCTCAAGCCAAAACACAGCAGAATCACAATCTGTTTTGAACCAACAATATATCAATAATCATACTTAACAAGCATAGATCACAAAGACAATGCCTTTCCTTTACATTTTACGTCTTTGGGCTTCTCACAAAGTCACAAGCCTTTAATCACTTAGATTCTGACTTATATTAATCATTACAGAAGTTCAACTTCATCAACATAGGGTCCACGAACCCATAACTTAGTTATGTATGAACAATACCTTCACTGTTCACGAAAACCCAGAATATCCGGATATATGTTGGGGGCATATCCGGATATAAATATCCGGATATCTCTCTGCCAATATCCGGATATCAATATCCGGATATCCATATCCTGATATTTCGCGACAGAATGCAGTTCTGCATTTCGCGAGATATCCTTCCCAAAGGTGGTTCATTTCATGCATACAGAAGCTCAAACATGCGATTTAAGGTGTGTTTAACATTACCCAACCTTAAGTTATGATCTTTAGCTTGTTACATGCATCAAGGTTTCATTTTTAACCCTAAAACTCATGATCAAAGGTGATGAAGCTTACCCAAGCTCAAAACTCAGAAAAGGTTGCTCTTGGAGCTCACTAAAACACTTCAAAGATTCTGACTTTGAAGGAAAACGAAAATGGCACACCACAATGGTTCTTTCTTCACAAAGGTGGCTTCTTGAAGCTCAAACCACTCAAAGAATGGCTCTCACACCACAAAACCAAAGAGGTCAGCCCCAACACCCACTCACACAGACCCACCAACTCAGAAATTGAGTGTTTCCTCACTCATCATGCAAGCTCTCACATACACAAGGTATTTGGTGAAGAAACAAGGACCAAAGGTTCTCTCTTTGGCTCACAAGAAGGGAAGGAATAAGGTGGCAAGGTGGCTGATGAAGAGCACTCAGAAAACTTCACGTAGGCAGCCTCAAATGACCTAAAAATCTGTGCCACTTAGTATATATAGGCGAATTACACTTAATCACACTGTATTAACATTAATAGCTACGCTTAGCATTTTAATCTCAAACTTAGGATTCTGAACCTACTCATTTTTCTAAGATTTATCATATTTTTATTTTATTTTTTGCAGCACTTTTTCGGTACGCGCTTTTCCACAGCCAGTATCAGTTCTGGCAC